TGAGCCAGTCCTTGAACTTCTCTGAGCCTCAGTTTCCCCTTGTGTAAAATATGAGTGATAGATTAACTAATCACCAGGTCTGTTTGGTTCTCAGTTCAGGTGGCAGTCAGCGCCAACAGGTAACCACAGAGTCCCACCAGTGTTCCAGAGAGGCCATTTTGAGGTTTGGATGCAAGGGTCCCTCTTAGGGACCGTCCGGAGAATGTCTTCTCCCGGCCAAGTGTGACAGGTGCTATATCAGGTGCTATGTCCCTTGTTAACACTGCTTCTGACAAGAAACTCTGCTGAGAGCTATGGGAGATTTTCCTCAGAAGATAAGATTTAACAAACCCCCTCATCCCCTTCCTCAGTCAGAAAGGCCCACACTGTCCAGCATGCAGCTAATGGAAGGAAGTACAGTTCCAAGCCTGTGGTTTCCTCCTCCTTGGTGGAAAAAATGCTAGAAACGCTATCAGGCAGGGCCACCGGAGCCCATATCATGCCTCGGTCCAAATTAGAAGAGGCTCCCCTTCCACCAGCTGATGCCGGGTAGGCAGATGGAGCCCAAGCTGGGTGTAGCCCCCCATGTGCCTCCTGAGCTAGCCCCCTTGAGCTGTGGACACAACACACAGGCTTACTTGGAAGCCATACTCTCAGGCCAGTCACAGCCAGAAGCAGAAAGAGGGAAGATCTTGTGATCTTATTACCATCTTCTTCTACTGGCAAAGGCTGAATGGATGAAAATCGTCCAGTGGGAACGGAACACTTACTATTTCAAAGCACCAGACTATATACCCTGGTTGAAATCTTTGCACAGCAGTAGTCAGATGTTGAAAACAGCGTATGTTCTCAGGTACAGAATTTGGGGTTATCCCAGAGTTTTTGCTGAGGGGCAGTGCAAGATGCTTCCCACACTCAGGTGAGGAGAGAGACAGGTGGTTCCCTGGAACTTCGTCAGTCGTGCCAGGTTGTGTGACAATGAGACAGTTCGTAACAGTGGATCTGGCCTTTCTGGAACCATGGCACACTTTCTGACATGATAGCTTTGAACCCTACTTGACATACTCAATGCTAAACAAGTTGGCAATCCTCGCACCATGACCGAAGTATAATAGTATCTCACTCTGTTTACCTGCAGCTCTGTGTGGCTGTCTGAGAACCGCTGACTGCCATGCCAGGGCATCCCAGAGATCGCATAGATCTTGAGTCAACATCCTGGCAGGTTCCAGGAGACAAGAAAACTTTTTGGGGGTTATGGCTTCATATTCTATTATTACTCTTATGCCTTCTTCATAATAACAGGCACACTCAGTGATAGCAAAAATGAATGCATTGCATGTGTTTTGCAGCACTCTGGGAGGCATTGGTGGCTCGTAGGCAGTTCTGCCAGGTCAGTTGAGAATCACGGGTCTGGCCCATGATAAACACCCAATTAATGGCTGCTCTGTTCACGTGAGCACAGAATGCCAAGGTGTTGGTTTTCTTTAATAATTTGCTCCACAGGATTGTGTAAGTCTTCCAAGTTTAAAGTTTATGCTTAGCTGGTCTAATAAGAAGTTAGCCTCTATTTTAAGAGATCTTAATTGAAAAGATAAACACAACCAAGTGTCCAAGGGAAGCTTAGTAGGGGGGCCATGAGGCTGCTACTGAACCATTGCTGCTGATCAGGATGGTGTTTCCTAACAGCTGGCAAATTACCCCAAAATTAATGAAATGATGTGAAAAGCATTTTAAGTATAAGATCAACAAATGTTGGTTATACACCACCCCATCTCCACCCTCCAACTCAACAGTGAGTCCCCTGAGAGCAAGAATTCCTTTCTTTGTCTTGATAGTTTCAGTGCTAGCATAGTACCTGGCACATAGTAGGTGCTCAATAAATGTTCACAACTTGATAACACTGTGACTGACAGTATTTTAGTTGAGGGAGAGGATGACTTCCAGGTATGGTGTTTGGGTTAGAATAGGTTTTTAAAGCTTTCTTTTCTTTTCTTTTCTTTTTTACTGTGGCCTACAGCAAGAAACACATTTCACATCATGACACAGAATTCTCTCTCACTCTCTTTCTCTCTCACCTACCTTGAATAAAAATTTAACAAAACACCCTTCCTTTGTAAAACACTCCTCCATATTGCTACTCTGTTCTATTTCTTGTTTCCCTTTCTTTTCTTTTCATTTTTTAATGCTAGTCGCCACCCACTACATTGATTTCATGACTGGTTATTGGCTGCAGTCTGGAAACCACTGGCCAGAGCAACTGACGGTGCCTTTGCCGAGACTCGGGTCACAGGGCTAGGCTGGCAGACAAGAGGCTAGAAAGCCCTGTTTCCCTGGTCTCCTTTCCTGAGACCAGCACTCCTTTCCTGCCCCAACACTCACAGTCCTGCCCCCAGCACACTTCCCGGTCCCACCCTCATTGATTTGGAGGAGAGTGCTCTGTACTTTTCAAGGCATCACTTAGCAAATCTAATCAATTATTATGTGTAGACAGGGCTGAGGGAAGGGGATGGGGAGTTATTGTTCGATCAGCACAGAGTTTCAGTTTTGCACGGCGAGAGAGTTCTGTGGATGGATGGCGGGGATGGTTGCACAACAAGGGGAATGTACTTCATGCCACTGAACTGTATGCTTAAAAATAGTTAAGATTGTACATTTCACATTATGTGTATTTTGCCACAAGTAAAAATGTGTGTAAGTAGACTAAAAAAATAACCTGGAGGGGTCTTCTGGAGAGGAAGTCTCAAGGTTGGAAGAGTTCTTCAAGGTCATTTAGACAAAACACCCCTGGACACTCAAGCCTCCCGAGCAGAATGACTTAGAAGCGGGTATAGTCTCCAGTGATGGGGTTTCATCGCTCAGGGCAGGTTATTGTATCTTTGAACAATTCTGACCTTGGACTGTTGGGGAGCTCTCCTTTAGATGAGCTGGAACTTTCCCTGTAGTTTCTTGTATTAAACCCAATTGTATCCCTCAGGTCACAAAAACAACCTAAATATCCTTTTCCACGTAATACGCATTCAATACGTATTTTTTGAGCATGTAATAAGTACCACTCTCTGATGTCCCCAGTTTTCTCTCTCCAGCCAAACATCCCAACGCCTGACAACTATTTTGTATGACATTTCGTGTCCCCTCATCATCCGACGACTCTTCTGAAATGACAAATTTGCTGCTCTCCCTCTTATAGTATGACATCTAGAAATGAACATATTCTAACCAATGCCCACAAAAGCTTTCCATCAAAAAAAAAAAGTGGAGAATTTTAATGGGAGCTGTAGGCTGAGGGGAGAGCACAGACATGGCAGGTGGGTGAGGGAGAGCTCTGAGGGCTATACTGACATATCGCACAGAGGGCTAGATTTGTTCTCCAGGTGCGAGATGAAAAACATCTTGGATCCCATCCATAGGTCTGAAGGATAGATACAAAATTCAGTCAATCTTGGCTCTTACCTCTAATTTATTCTGTTTCATCAGGACCCCGTAAACTACCACCCAGCTCTCCTTGGAGTGAAATGCTTTATTATATGCAGCGCTGCACAGGGCTGGGTGTTTGCCAATACATAAATATCCATAATGTATGATTTTCTCCTTTGGCTCTGGAACCTAAACACATGGGTTAGGTTCCCAAAACTCCATAAACCCACAATTCTGTAGGGTGACCATGGTGTTCCTAAAGAATTTCATTCTAAATATAGAGAGGTATTCCTCTGCAGAAAAAACTATCCCTGCAATTCGGTTCTAATATATAATTAAATCCTCCCCAGATACTTTGCAGTTATGTTTTATAGCTTATTTTGAGTGTTCATATTTTATCAGAAAATTATAATTTTCCTCCAAATAGGAGTTTTCACAAGGCGTTTGAATTATGATCGCTGGCTTCATGTTTCAGCTATAATTAAAACAGTGCAAAGAAATAGTGAAACCATACATTACATGTGGCGCTAAAGAGCGCTCGGTCCTCCACTCCCCCACCCCTCACGCCCTGCAGCCCCAGAGCTAGGGGCTACTCTGACCAACCCTGGGGGGCCCAGTTTTGACCACTTGGTGGTTGTAGCTGGTTTTAAAAAGGAACAGAACAGTCGGGAAGAAGAGATAAAGAGGCCTCATCCTTTGCATGCTTCCAGACTCCGTGTGAATATCTCCTCCTCCAAGAAGCCTTCCTGACCGTTTAGACCGCTATCATTTTCTCACCTCACCCTACTTTCTCCCTTCATAACACTCACTTTCTCATGAACAGTAATGATATCTGTTTGTTAGTTTATGAGCTTATTTGTCTGCTTCCCAATTACACGACCAACTCCTTGAGGGTCAAAGCAATGTCTTCATTATTCAACACTGTATGCCAACTCCTTGCATATATTAGATCTGCAACAAATGTTTGCTGAATAAGATGAATGAATGAATGAATGAATGAATGGAGAACCCAAAAACATCGTGACAGGAGTTCTCTTGGAAGCAGCTCTGTTGGGACACACTTCTGAAGGACTCTCCTTTTCCCCTTCCCCTGTCTCCCCCACAGTCCCCACCTTATCCCCGCACACGCACATAAACACACATCAAGGACCCAGATACACGAGTCTGTCAACTACCAGCCGAACCAGACCAATCTAGCCTCACAAGACCCCTTGCCACAAAGTTCAGACCTGAAACTTCATCCCAGGAAAGGCTAGCCCATCCCAAGAAGCCTGCTGTTTGGTCCTCAGGGAGCCCCGCCTCCATACGGGGACTGCAGCACACATAGAACCGCTGAGTTATTTATACCGTGACGACCACACTGCCATGGGGGAGAACTGGGCCAGCAGAGTTGCTCCATCTGCTCCCCATAGCCGCTGGCCATTCATTTTTGGATCGTTGTCCCTCACTCTTTGGAGCCTTCTTCTATATCCTTGCAAGAGACATCTCCTCACTTGTTCGTCCCTAGTGGACTTTTAACTAGAGTGTTTATCACAGATCTAAATATGCTGCCACCAAGGTGGCTACGGCTCTCGTGTCCTAACCTTCTGCTTGTTGCTTTCCATCAGGTATCAGGTTTGGAATCCAAACCGGTATTGGACAGCATCCTATTTTTACGGGACAAAAGATGGGAAGAGGTCAGAGGCGCCCTAACTTCTGCTTTCAGTCCTGAAAAGCTGAATGAGGTAAGACAGAAAACAGACACTTTCTTTCTTCTCTCCAATATGTGACGGAGCGCTGGTTTACATTGCATTACTTGTCCAGGTGGCATAACGCAATGCCTTGCCCGCTGGGGCGTTCAGACTTCCCTATTCTGCAAAAAGCACAGGATACTATATCGGGGTGTCTTCTATCTCTCCAGACTCCCACATTCCCGGTGTCACGAATCAAGTGAGTCAACAAGCACTTGTGGCACCCCTGCTATGTCCTGACACTCTCCCCACAGGCACTGTGGGGGCCCCCCCAGGAGAAAACTGGAGCAGTGCGCCTCATAGTTCCTGTATAATGGGTCAGCTGGGGATCCTGTGAAAATGCAGATTCTGAGTCAGAAGGTCTGGGGTGAGGCCTGAGATTCTGCATTTCTAGCAACCTCGCAGGAGATGAGGATGCTTCTAAACAGTGAAGCAGCCCTTACCTAGCAAGGAACCAGAGAACAGCCTGAAACAAAGGTGAGCTGTGAGTCGAGTCTGCAATAGGGATGAGATGGCCATAAGTTACTGGGCAGGAGTCAGAATGTTCCTGGAAGAAGTCTAGGGGTGCAGGCATGCCCTGGTTACCCTTCCTGGCCAAGTCAGAGGGATGAACGGCACCCTCAACATGCTGCCAGCCCCTTAAGGCCCCGGGCTCCCTCCTCCCCCACCCAGTGACCTGCCCCTCTCTACCAGCTGTTTGTCCTTTTCTCCCAGCTGAGTTCTCTCACACCTGATCCTCACTGATGACCCCACCATTGTGGGTCTGGCTTTGGTTTCTGTTCGAATTCTGCAGCAACTCAGGAGTGAGCACTTGAGCCCTTCTCGTGTGAAGCAGCCAAGCGACTGCCTCGCTTTGAGGCCCAGGTTCATGGGCACGTGACCTTCCAGAGCCATCCACCACATCTCGCTGTTCCAAAATGCCTGGGCTTGGAGTGGCCGGTCTTCGGCTCAATAAATGAAAGCTACTCGTAGCTTAAACTCAAGATGCTCACCGTATGGTCCTGTTTAATTCCTATAAATCTTCTGAAGTCCCCCAGAAGAGAGGGTCCTGTACCTCCTAATTAACCCCATCCAACTAAACTCACTCAGAAACCAGTGATTCTGCCCATCTTCAATGAGGTTTTGATTTGCATTTCCACAGCAGCCTGTGGTATTTGAGGGTAGCGGGTGAGCTCAGTTTACAGTACCAGCAAACATGCTCCCAGCTCTTAGGGTGTGTCAGCCACCGTCCTAAGGGGTTCCTGTTCGTTTTAACACACTGAGCCTTCACCACATCCCTGTGAGGTAGACACTCTTATCTCACCTTCATTTTACAGATGAGGGAACTGCGACACAGAGAGATTTACTAACATGTCCCATGGAACACTGCTAGTAAGTGGCAGAGCCAAGATTTAGGATCAACTCCAGAGTACTCTTAACCTCTCCGTTCGACTGCTTCTCTTACCCACGGTGGTTTTCAAACGCTTTCTGTAGCTCCCTAGGACTTGTCCCAACAATTGTCTGGAAGGTAGGGGAAGGGAAGTGGAGCAAATGTGGCCCTGTGGAAACCCATGGGAGTCAGAAGCAATGCTTCTGTTTTCTGCCTAAATTTGGAACCAACTGCGGTATGGAAACAGGTTTCAGGCAGAGGCAATACAAACTTTTCCTTTCTTACTGGTAAAGCGCTTTGAGAAATGGGGCTCAGCCATCTGGTTCTGTGAGCTCGCTAACGCTTCACCCGGAATGTGAAGGTTGCAGCCTCCCCCACAGGAGGGCGGCAGAGAGTACACACCCCAAATCCCGTTAGGGCAGGCCCGCGCATGCTCAGTGCCTTCTTCCCGGGCCCCAATAGGATAAGGGAGGGCGTGGAGAGCAGAAGGCAGGCTGGCAGTGTTGCTCAGATGCAGCCCCTCCCTCAGCCACAGGTACACAATGGAATCACCTGGGGAGCTTTGAAAACCATTGCTGTCTGCGTCCCACATTTACAAAGTTCTGGTTAAATTGGTTTGGTTTGGAGTGCAGCCTGGGTTTGAGGGTTTTTACAGCTCCCCAGGTGGTTCTATGTAAACCCTGAGCTGGGAACTACCACTAGTTCCCTGCAAGGAAACACAAGGAAACATCCTGCTTCGGCTGCAGCAATGAGCCCTGCTCCACATTTAACCATGCTGGATACTGAGGTTTCATGTAAGAATTTGTCTGAAGGAAAGGCCTGCTTCTTTTAAAAGTTGCAAAGCACTGTTCTGACCACCTGGACAAGTAAGAAGGGGGACCCCTTTATTACCACTAGTCACTAAAATGTTGAGTTAACCACAAGAAGGGGAAGAGAGGAAAAGTAGGTAAACCAAGGGTTGTCATCACTAGTTCAAACATGGTGCCCCCTATTTCTTTATTCATGAGTAAACAATGGTGTGACAGCACTACCGAGGCAGAAAGGATCTCATCATTTGTTAAAAAGGAATTGGTGAAGTGTACCTTATTGAAAAACAAGTAAGAAAGGTAAGTTTTCTTGGCCGTCTTGAGCTACATTTCTTTGGGGGGGGGGAATGACTCTTATTCGGGTCTAGATTCCTTTAGTACCTTACAGGGTATATTCCAATAACTGATACAATGTCATATCCCAAACAAATCCAGTGCTCCTGGGATCCAAAGCATTTTCTCCTTCTGATTCAGAGATCGAATTCTTAGCGCCTGAATTACGGTAGTGGCAGAAAACAGAATTCCTCGAAGTGGTTCATGGCACTAGGGGGAGGGGGAGGAGGAAGCAATTTCATAGACACAGATTCCCTGGGTTTTGCTTCAGGTCTAGCCCATTGTTTAATATATACTACCAGTCAACTTAAAACTCCATTGAAAACCACCTTTGTACTCCATGTAGTTCAATTTAGGTTCTTGGGTTTCCATTTGAAAAGATACCATTCCCGGGGCAGGGAGAGTCACCTTTCTCCCTGCCTCTGGAGAATTTAGACCTTGGTGAGTTTAGACCTGGGAGACATCTAAATAGATGTATCAAGGAGAAGTTGACTGCAGTTCTGGAGCTCAGGAGAGAAGGGTAGGAAAGATGGTCATCAAAAACAAACATGGGTGAGGTCACCCCGGGAGTGGGTATAGCATGAAAAGAGGATGCTGGGGAGAACCATATTGAAGTGAGGAGCAGAGGAGAAACCCACAAAGAAGACTCAGAAAGAACAGCCTGAAATAGAAATCCATGAGCTTGGGGAAGGGGAAAAGCATTTCAAGGAAGGAAGGAGGTGTTAAATGCTGCTTAAATAGAAACATGAGAACTAAAAAATATTTGACGAAGATAATATTTTTCAAACGTTAAATCAATGTATGTGTTTCATGCTCCATAAATCGTGTCCCCTGTGGGGCTGGCCGAGTGGCTCAGTTGGTTAAGAGCTTGCTCAAGAGTGCGAGCTCTGAGCAACAGGGTCGCCGGTTCGATTCCCAGCCCGAGCTGAGCTGCCAACAGGTGGCAGGATGGCTCAGCTAAAAAAAAAAAAATTGTGTCCCCTGTGATTTTCTCTCCCCCACTGAATCAATGGCGCTCACTGCTTTAGAAGGAGGCAGTGGGTGCTGTCCAGAACAAGGAAGTCATTGCTTAATTTGGAACGGCACCTCAGGCTTTCTTGATCCATACTGAGACGACGGTCTTGGAAGCCAAGCTTTGGTAGGAGAGAAAAGAGTGTTCCTAATTCCAGAAGCAGCTCCTCTTTGCATATGAAGAGCAAAGTTTGGGGCTCTGGGCACAGACTCTACACACCAAGGTGTAGACAGGATAGAGGCTATGAGAAGAGGGTGGTTTCTGTCCTGTGGAAGATGGGGGAAGGGGAGGAAGAGGAGAGAGCAGGCTGCCAGACACGAGTGTTCCTGACTGCCTCCTTCCCCACCCTTCTGCTTTCTGGATGCTTCTTGGACTTTTTAAACCTCCCATTGGCCTTTCCTCTCGTGGTCACTTGTTCTCAAACCAAGGGCTCGTAACCAAGGGCTGCACCAGAATCACCCAGCACCGTTGTTAAAAATACACAATTCCAACCACCCCAGGACTTGCAAAATGAGAATTCTTAAGGTTGACGGGGCATCTGTGTGTGTTACAAGTTCCCTGGCTTGGTTCTGATAAAAATGAGAACGGGAAGCACTGGTGTTGTGTCTTCATCTTGGTCCCTTGTCCTCAACCACCTCAGACCTGTGGCTTCCCCAGGCTCATAGGAGCTGGGCCCCAGAACACACACCCCGCTTCCCCGCTTTATTTTTTTCTGATACAGCACTGTCATCAGCTGAATTCCATTTACTTTACCTCTTTTTTCTTTATTGTTAACTGCACAGCACTTGGCACATAATGGACACTCAATATTGATTTGCTCAGTGAATGAATGGATGGATGGAAAAGAATCAAAGAAGCGGGAAGCTTTCTACTAAAGGATATGCGTTAGAACTAAGAGAAAAGGGAAATAATTTTATCAAGGTAAAATTAATAAGAGATTGCAACCAATTGTTGGCTTTTTCTTTAGCGAGTCACCAGTACCGTCGTATAGAACTAGGAAAAGGCAGGTCACAAAGACCCTAAGAGGCACCCAGAGGGCCTGGGGCGGAGGCGGCAGAGGTGGGAGAAGCTCAGAGAACCAACAGGACCCTGCACTCCACTCGGCTCCTCAGTCAGTTTCCCCGGAAAAAGCTTTGAAATAGCAACATCTTGTCTTTTCTGAATTCGTAACTAGCTTTTGGATTTTTATTATCAAACTTCAGGGTTTATTCTTGAAACCAAGGTTTGCTTTCCCTTGGAAGTCTGAGGCCTTTTCCTGTGGCACCTTGGCAACTTAAGTCCTTCACCACCTGTGTCTGTGTCATTAATATTCAAAAGGCACCATCTTTTTTTGTGTGGATAGTAGGCTGCCTCCGTCAACAATGCTTGAGTTACTTTAAAATCAGCATTACACCATGGATGCATATTTTAATTTAAAACAAAATTGGTTTTTGGCTTAAGTCGTACCAGGGATAAGATAGAGATAGGGAACCAG